GGTTCATGAGCATGAGGCGTATCACTGATATGTGCTAGACTTCTGTATTTGAATTAAGTAAATAAAAATCTGTGTAACTCATAACCGTGTTTGTACAGCACTTACTTCCTTTGTGTGGTTGAAGCTGTTAACTAATTAGCTAAATTCAATTCATTCATTTGAAAAACTCAACAACAATGCGTCTTTCCAGAAATCATGAACCAGTTACTTAATCCACCAACCTAGTTGTGAGCTGCTTAATGTAGGAACTATTTTACTTCTACCGAACTACACCCGCCAACCATAGCTGAATGTTAGCTATCTCAGTGGTGCTAGGTGAGCTAGCTAACGTCATCCGAGGAGGCCGCAATAATGTTGGCATCCTGCACTGTCATGAGCACGAGCATCTCGTCCGCGCCACAAGTCTGAATTCAACACAATCAAAGTGTTGTTGTCAATGCTGTTGCTAGCCTATGAGTCATAGGCAAGCGGTTATGACGCCTGTGGTTCTTTCTGATCAGTCTGGTTAGTTATCATGCTGATGAGAAAGCTGGACCCCCACTTTTAAGGGTCACGGCTTTGAAGGTTTGAAAATATGGTCACCCTAGGCTAATGACTTTGAAGTTGGCTAAACCCTCTTATGCAAGAAATTTGTTGGTTGTCGTGATATAACGTTACACCACTGCCATTTGTAATCTAGTTGGCTTAAAGTTGCAGTAGGCATTTTGAACATGCAAAACCTTCAGCCTCTCTCTCTACTACCTCGTATCCCTCTGTTAAGCCCTTGCCACCAAACCCACAAGTTTGAACAGCAGCAAGGAGATGGTTGCCCTGTGAAACCTCATGATGTGTAGTGCCCGCAGACAGCAGTTAGTGGTTAACTTCCCTTCAGGAAACTCTGTTAATCCAATTTGCAAACTGCTAAATTGCTAAAATGGGCTCAAATTATTTCTAAATGCTAAGAAAACCAAATTAATGACGTTTTCAAGGGCTTGCTCCCAATCCCCAGGTAACGTAACTATCAACACACTAAATGGGGACTTAATTGAAAAAGTGTCTTCATAAGTTTTTAGGTATTTGGTTGGATGACAAGCTTTCCTTCAAAGTTCACATTGAAATGCTTGTGAAGAAGCTAAAATTAAGGATAGGTTTATATTTTTGAATAAGGCTTGTTTCTGCTCCTGCGCATCAAAAGGAGCCAGCTGAGCTGGTTCAGGCATCTGATTAGGATGCTTCCTGGGTGCCTTCGAACTGGAAGGAGACCCTGGGGTAGACCCAGAATTTGCTGGGGGGTTATATATATCTGGAATACGCTACCTAATGTGCTGCTACTGCAACTTGACCCCGAATAAGGGAAAGAAAATTAATGGTTCGATGGATGGACCAATTTCGTCAATGAAATAAACCCTAAAAATATTATTTAATAATAAAGTATACCCATAGCAACTTCTTAAATTACTCATGCAGTGTAAATGTAAACTGCATTAATGGATGAATGTACAAATATTGCAAATGCTTGTCAGGCTCAATGAGGATCAATGCTTTGGCAATTATTTTGACGTGCTTTTAGAGTGTGCTTCTGTGCTCCTAACTTGTGTAGCTGGCAAACAAGAATTTTGTAACGTTTTGAGGGGGGCCTCTGCGCTTTTAACCCACACTGCCCATTGACAGGATGGAATACAATCATTTCTCACTACCTGTAGCCTAGAGCTACAAGTGTTATTGCTACTAGCTGCAGTTTCTCACTGGATTTTTGTTAGCTCGAGCTGACAGTTGTTTATCAAATGCATGTGGTAAAATACATTTTAGAAAATTGATTATGAGTGCCACATACAAATTTACTCCTAAACATGAGACAATGTCCATGCACTTAAGTGTGAGCTATTTCCCCCCTTGATTCAGAGTACATCCTTGATCCTTGATTGAATAGACCTTTTTTCACAGCAGCCAATTTGACATGAAATAGTAGGATAAACACAGGTGTTACCAATGATACTAAGTGAGGTTCAATTCCATTCTGGTCAAACAGTGCTGCTACTGTGCATGTTGACTCACTGGAAACTCTACTACACTATATGTACTCAAACTTTTATTAGTATCACTGAAAACAACTTGCTGTTGTCCTACTATTTAATGTTGAAATGGCTGCTGTGAAAAAGTTCTAGGTTAGGTTGTTTTTTCTACATCTGTCACATGGGAAGGCTTTGGTAATAACAGTACCGTTATCTCTGCATGGCTGCCAGCCTTAAAAAACTGAACATAAGTACTTACTGTACTTACTAACACATATTTCACCCTGTGGCAGGACAAAAAGATCTATTGCTAATCATTTAAGTCTTTTGCTCTATCATGAATTTGGTCAAACTCAAAGATCATTCAGCCACTTCACACTGGTCTATTTGACATTTAAAGAAGATGATAATGTTAATAAAAGCTTGGTGTATTACCTGCTGCAAAATGACAACAGCAGGGGCTATTTTTTACTAAATGAACTGGTTCAGAAAACTACCACAAAATGGCTGTTGTTCTATCTACTAAACCCTGGTGAATTACAAAGACCACTAGCAAAACAAAATGCCGTACCTTTCTCATTGTGTGTCACAATGCAGTTCTGATGGGAAAGCGAGGCTCTTTTACATGCTCTTACAGTACATTGTAATGTTAATCAATTGTTTTGAATGTCAGCCTTTTTGAAATTCTGGTATGGCTTCCAACAAAAAGATACATTGATATGTTATTACTTTTCAGACTTCATAAAAAATATTATTATTATTATTTTGTGAAAAAAGTATAGTTAAAGCTGAAAATGTTCTAAACAACATGCACATATAAATCAGTGATATGAAATACAGTACACACTTGACCTAAAATATGATTAATACTCTATGAGTGTGCTTGAAAAAAGTGTATACGTTTTCTATATGTTAAATTTCTTTTCCAATTTATTTAAAATAAATATGATTTTTGCACAGATGTGAAATAATATTACCTGTATTGATATAGTACATTTAAGTATGATTGCTTCAGACTTATAGTACAGTAAGCCTTGTACAGGCTCAGCTAATAAAATAAGAAGTGTGAAATTAGTAGTGTGACAGACAGGACCAAAATGCTATTGCCTATAAATAATAATAATAATAATAANNNNAAAGAGCGCTTTTCTGAATACTCATAGACACTGTACAATATAATTAATATTAATTACATTAATAAATAATAAAATTACATGCTTTGTTAAACATTACAAAATAGGTTGATTTACAAAGTGTGTCTAGTGCACTTTTTATACTAAAAGCTTCTAACACTATGCAAATGGTATGACCTACATTTTATATTTCTGTAATTCATGTGAATGTGCATTACATTTTTCTTACTGTCCTACTGATTCAATTAGAGTTTTTTTGTCATCTTCCTCAAAACACCCCTTTTGTTGAGGGTCACTCATTAATGCTAAAACCTGGTGTATTATTATAAATTAATTTCCCCTTTTAATATTAATACTATTTAGTCAAACTGATACTGTACTTGTTATTGATACCAACATGTATGGTGACTTTTTAGAAGTTAATGGACACAGAACCAATAGTATTAGTATTAGTGGTTTCTCAATAAATAACCTTTTTTGCACTATGGTGCCATGTAGTATTATTTGTTACACATTGATTTATGTCATATAAAGATTATTTAATCAAAAATATGTACTAGATATTAAATAATTGAATTGTTTTTTGTGTATAGATTTCCCATGTATGTCATCTTTTACCATAAATGTATGTTGTACGTGTCCAGTTTCAGAATACTCTTTAAAAAATAACAGAGGAATTCATTTAAAAGAGAATAACTAGATTTTATTTAAAATCTTGCTTTTATACACTGGTGCTCTAATAACAAGAATCCATGATACGCCTCATGCTCATG